AGCAGGAGAAGGGAGGTGGAGCAGAAGGAGATGGAGGAGTTCAGGGCTCAGGTGCAGTGCCTGAACCTGCCTCCACCTGTTGTGATGGATCCTACCAAGGAGCTTTGTCCAGAAGAGACACCCAGTGATCCAACAGCTCAACCTGAAGAGAAAACGGTGGAACAGAAAAACTGAGAGACACTGGAAATAGTATAGTTTGGGTAAAATGTATGTCAGTACTAAGCATAAGCATAAACATACTAGTGATTTTTTTTCTGCTTTTCTAAATGTTCATGCAATGTTCCCATACCAACAAATCACTGAGAAGTTTTTGTATGGACTGATAAGATGGATCTGTAAAGTAACACCAACACTTTTCTGTCAACATTAAAATATTTTACCTCTGCAGAAAACACAACCTTTGTTGTTCTTTGTGAATATGACCTCAGTCATGGATGGATTACTGAAAGGGCCAAGTGGGCATAGGCCCAGGGGGGCCCTGAGCCCAAAGGTACCAAACTACCGCAAGGAGACTCAAAACAGTGACAGTCCAAAACAACTGCACAGAGTCACAATATGACCACAAAGAGATTCCAAATAACTACAAACAGAATGACACAATGAGACACAATATGACACACAATGATAACTCTGTTTCAATCTTTGTCTTGCTGTTGTGGAGGACAGTAGTAGACCAGTTTGTGCTTGTCTGGGCTTTTGAAATGGCTGCATAAAGTGCAAGAGTGAAACTTATTTAGACAAGATAAGGGATAATATTTAAAAGAAATGTAGCATTCTGGGTTGTGTGTTCCTTCAAAGCTTGTGTGATGTTTCAGTATTTGCATTTTAATGTCTGGTCTTTTGTGTTTCATTTCCTTTCAAAATACCCCAAAGGTTCAGGAAACACAACACAAACAGTTTCACCATTTGAGTCACAGTAAATGTAATTGTTCCCATGTCTCTCTCACCCAATAGGAGGCAGTGAAATCGGCAGAGGCCAAAGAAGGTAAGTTAGATAAACCTTTTGGTACAAAAAAAAGTTAGTTAAAGGTAAAACTTAGTAACGTGTGTGTGTGTGTGTGTGTGTGTGTGTGTGTGTATATACACACACACACACACACACACACAGGCATAATCATTATTCATCTCCTACCTTTTCCCACACTTGCACTGTATTCTGTCATGGTAAAACCACTCCATGCACATACACACACTGTTTTTCTGGCTTTTACCATCTGTTAGTCAGCTGCTACACTTCCAGTGCTGTTCTTACTTAATTACATCACTACATATTGATTAAATTTCATTCACCTAATGACTGGGCACCTTCCCATTTTGTTTGCGGTGAAAAGCTACTGTAGTGTTTGCTGCAGTATCTATAGAGCAGTGCCACCTATTATTAGCTGCTCCTGATTTTGTTGTCTAACATTAGACAACATGCATGAATATTATTAAATGATAAGTTGTGCAGAGTTGCACAGGTGTGTCTATTGAGACAAATTATGATGCAGTCCTCAGCGTGGACCTTGTAATACAGTTAGAGGTGCATCTTAGTTTGATAATTTTAATTTAAAGGTACAGTATACTGTAGTTAATGTTGCCATATTAAATCAGTATTAAAGGTTGCACAGATCAGTCAAGTAGTTGACTAGTCAACTTCACCATGCACAGTTGACCTTCTCAACATGATGTTGAGCAGTTGCTGACCATGTGATTATCACTACCAACAGCCTTACCTGATGTAGCAAAGGCTGTCAGTCAGACACTTTAGCAACTTAGCAGTGGGAACCTGCCCTGAAGAAATGGCTGGGAAAGCCATGAGTGTTATGCCAATAAACTCCAAACCGCCTGCCCAGTCAGGTGGAATTACACCGTTGTCATTCTGGAGCTGCTGTTAGTTGTGCAGTCTGTCTTTGCTGATGAAAGTGTCACAAAGCCAAGTGTCCAGAAGTCCTTTGCCATGAGTGTGTCACAGTGGGAGCTGGTGGAACAGCACCCCATCATCATCTGCGTAGGAGACCATCAGGACACGGCTGTTCGCTACACTTGAGCAGAGATGGGCAAACAAACCACATGCACATATGCAAAATCAACAACTTAGTTATCACCCTTAAAGTCTGTAAATAGACCACAATGTTTGAAAACACTTCTAATGAAGCACAAATCTCAGCTTTATGTGGCTTCTCCTAGTGTACTTTGGCGTCTTCTTCTCCTTGTTCTGATGCGCCAAGCAGCTGTTTGCCAACTACAGCCACCTGGTGGTCGGGTGGGTTACCCACTTTTTTTTATATATATTGAAACAAAGAAACATTAACAAAACAGTACCAAACATGGGAGACAAGACAACAGTTACATGACATTACAAAAGGATATAGAGTGTTTAACAAGATTGTAGTGTGTGAACTGTGGGTATTTCCAACTTATGCAGTCTATGAAATGCAAGGAAGGGAAGAGGGGAAATAAATAAATAAATAATTACCAATAATAATGATGATAACTATACTACTAATAAAATAAGCTTGTTACATTTTTAGAGGTTGGTGGGACTGTGCGTGGCCTCAGCCTCAGGTTTTTGGTTCAAGTTGAAATGTGTTAATAATGGGTTCCATGTGTCATAAAAAGCTGATAAACTATTCTTGTGAGTGGATGTCATTTTCTCTGTGATGTATTCTATCAGAAGGTTGGTCCAGTGGTTTATGTGTAGTGATTTTTTTATTTTATTTCCAGTTTTGAAAGATTGTTTTCTTGGCTGTACGACCGGAGCAGGAGCTTGGTTCGCATTGCCAGCAGTAAGTCAGACTTGTTTCCGGTGCATGTTGGACTCCAGCAGGGCTGCCTTTTGTCACCAGTTCTGTTCATCATTTTTATAGACAGAATTTCTAGGTGCAGCCAGGGGCTGGAGGGAGTCCAGTTTTAATTTTCATTTCATTTTTTTAAAGAATTAATATACAAAGCAAGCTTATGTGCAGCTACTTTTCATGTGAAACCCATTTTGAACATTTTACTTCTTGTAATATGGGTCCTGTAGATGGTCTTGTATTGTATAAGTTGTAAGTTTACATTGCTGGTCATAGAAAAGATGTTATTGCAAATTTCTGTCCAGAAGTTGGAGTTGAGGGGGAGAGTTAAATCATTTTCCCATTTGAATTTTGGTATTGTTATTGTTGAATCTGTATTTGATATGAGTTTATATAGCTTGGATATTATTTTCTTGGAAGATGTAATTTTCATAATTTCTTCAATTAATTTGGAAGGCTGTAGTGGGTTATTGGTTACACTAATCTTTGACTTAATTATGGATTTTAGCTGATTGTACTGCAGGAACTGTTCTCTCTGAACTCCGTACTTCTGGATCAATGTATTAAATGATATGAACTGGTTATTTTCAAATAGGTGATGTAAGTGAGTGATTCCTTTGTGTTGCCATGCTGGGAAATAGATAGGATAATTATGTAGTTGGAAATCAGGGTTGTGCCAAATTGGAGTGTAGCTACATGGTGCAAATGATGATTTAGTGATTTTGTTTGCTTTCCACCAGGCTGTCAGAGTTGAGAGGATTGTGATGTTTTTACAGTAATTCATTTTCTTAATAGAGTTTGGTAGAAAAGAAAGGTCTGCAACTGAGTTATTTGAGTTATTTTTGCAGTAATTTTGCTCTAATTCTGTCCATGTTACCCACTTCAACTGGTTCAGTAACGGTGAGAATCAGGACGGTGTGGCACAGCCTTTTGTGTGTGTGTGTGTGTGTTTGTACAAATATTTGTTTATCATGACTAGCCGACATTTTCTCAGCTTTCATAAGTGAAATGACTGTAGTATATAAAAAAAACCTAATCAGTACTCTATCATGTACCAGTTCATTAGTTCTTCTTAAAACAATGCATGTCTGTTGTTGCTGACAATCACTGTTATAAATACTGTTTATCTCTTTCTCAGAAAAGGCCTGGAGCAATGTTGTGCAGAATGGAGAAAACAATGCAAGCGAATTAGGTGTGTATACAGTTGAATCATGACATAAAACAGACACAGATGTACACCTCAACAGAGCACACATGTTGAATGCCATCTGTAGACTTATGTCTTTGAACCTGATGATGTCTTATTTTAATCTTATTAATTATTATCTAAAGACCATGAATTCCCCTATAGATGTATTTGGTTGTATCCACCGTGCATACTAATCTTAAGAAATTTGCATTATAAAGGAAGGAATGGCATAGGTATACCTGTACTTCAGAAGAAATTCATACATGCTGCGATGAATAACTACCCATTTTGAATAAGGTTTTGCATATAGTGTATGCTAATAGGCACTCAAGTGCATAACTTGCATTTTTAGAGGACATCAATCACATGGACATGTAGGCAAGGAGCTGCTGAAGAACACAGTAGAAAGTCTGGGAAATGAACCTGACCCAGCCATTTGTAATCAAATCATCCAGGGTGTGTAACCTTCTTGTCCAGGCTATAGGGTCTACTGTTCACGCTCTTTATTCTGTTGCTGGTTTAGCTGGTGCTTACGTTCCTCTTATGTCTCTGCCTTTTTTTCCTATGACTGTTAAATGTTTATAATATTTTACTCTTGTTGCTGTTTGTGTTGTGTAGCTTAGCTTTTCTCGTGATGTTCACTTATATTGTTACATTCTGCTCTGTAACAAATGGTAACCTTAATTTGTTAGTATACAGTTTATGGTCTGTAGCTAACAAAGTAGCATCCTTTATTAGTTTCTGCATTAGCAGAGATGAATGTCACTTATTAAGAATCGTACATGGTAGAACCTTCTGTTAACAGTATTTCAGTACATAAATTAGCTGTATTTAGTACTGACATATTGGCGGCAAAGCGGCCACTAACTGCAATTAAGTTAAAGGTGCTGTAGTGGCTATTTGTCCAGATCAAAATCAAACTTTAATCCAACTTATAAACCACTGATAAGCCATCGGAATAATAATGTAGGCAGGCAAAAGATGTCCACAGTTCATTTGTTGTGTTTCTTAAGGTTTATTCATCCACTGCGAGCAGGCAAAGAAAAGAACAAACTCATGATTCTTATGAACTCTGCCTCATGATTCTTATGCCAGTCCTACAGTATACCTGCTTACTGTACCTACCTATAAACCTAAGGTGCCAACAATGCCACCCAATTAACCCCCCAAAAAAGCCAAGATAAACTAAACAACTAAAGAAATAACAACAATAGTAAATATGTTTAATCTAAATTAAACTAATGCCTAACGTAAACACTAAAAGCAATTATTAATACATATCAGTAGCACTAACCATCTAACAAATAGCTCCTAGTGGTTCATCTACACCAACCACAATGAAAGCTAATAATCAGGGTTAAAGAGAATGTGGCATATTGGTTGCAAATTCACTCCACATCATTTAAATGTATGAACAGCTCCAACTTTTCTAATTAATGTAGTAGCACAGATATTTCCTCTTTTCCTGAGAGATATATTTACTTGTTTTTCTTCTTCTTCTTGTTTTATCTTCAGAAGCTATTAAAGATCAACTAAAGATAAACCAAAGACTACCACTGGTTGAAAGTGCAGTTGTTCTAACCAATGGTGGAAAAAATGAAAATACAAACACCAGTAACCGTGCTTTAGAGCAGAGTACTCAGCCCACCACCAATGGACCAGCAGGCGATACTGAGGCTGTTGTTAGCATGAATGTGGAAGGTGTATTGATCCTGGGTGTTTCTGAGGCGGAGTCTGGTCAGGTTCCAGCTGTTAGCAATAATGAAGAGGAAGAAGAAGGCACTCTGGTGATGAGAGCAGAATGTGTGATCATCACAGATGAAGGGAATGATGTACCTGAGGATCTTACACCCCAGGAAGATCAGCAGGAGATGGCGCAGTCAGAGGAAAGCTCTCCCCCAAATCCAGAAACCAGCAAAGAGGAAGGGAAGGTTGTGGAGGGGCTACTAAAAACAGAAGTATCTCCAGAAACTATCAAACAAACAGACAAGAGTGAGGCAACAGAAATCACTGCAGAGCCACAACCAGCTACTGAAGATGTAGATGTGGAGGGTGAAATAAAGACAAATGAAGAGAAAAATGCTGCCGGACAGGACAAACAGTCAGAAGGTCTCACTTCTGTGCCACCTCAGTCCCAAGCCAGTGCTCTAGAGAGCACTACAGAGGATTCAGTGCCAGCCCACTCAGAGGCACAACCCTCCACTGTCACCCCCGAGGCTGAGGATGAGGTTGAACTGTCACCAGAGGGAGCTGAGACAGCATTTGAAGCCGAAGCCCATGTTACCTTGCCTGACGAGTTCCAGGAGGTACCCCTGTCTGATTCCCAAGAGGACCAGAGGGCAGACACATTGCCAGCAGAGAAGGAACCCCTTCTGCTGCAGGCCAAAACCCCCTGTACTCAAGAAGAGCCAGCAGCAGCTAAAAGCCCATCCAGCAGAGATTTACACAGTACAGCCAGCGCTATCCAGGGAGAGGAGACTGAGGTGCCCAAACACAAAGCCTGCCAGTGCTGCACTGTCATGTAAAAGCCCTCTCAGTACATTCATTTCTTCAGATGGCCAATTTCTTTCTGCTGTTCATTTGGTAATGCATTCCTTCCCTTGTCTTGTTTTATGCTCCCATCCATATTTTGAATCAGTTCCCTCCACTGTTCTCTGCCAACATTCCTTGTATTTGTCTTGAAACTTCCTCATCCCACTCTTGGGGTTTGATGTTCTAAGAGGAAGTAGGTTCTCCCCAACATGAAGAGAGGGGAGGTACAGATAGAACTCATGACTGTTTAAATGCCTGGAGGAGCTCACTCCCCGGGACCACACTTTTAAATTCTGTTCACACAGCGTCGACCAAAACACTGTTTGGGTTTGATTTAATTTTCTTGGTTAGCAGATGAGTCAGTCAATCTACTGTACATAGTTTCATAAAATCCACATTTTAGATATAGCTGGAAGAAACAAACTGTGTTGTTTTGAACTGTTGTATACTTAATGGGATATTTTTTATAATCTAATATGAAATGTTATTGGAAAAGCCCAAAGATCCTGAGATTCAGAGAAGATACCATTCTAATTTAATGACTTTAAAGCTGCAGTTTTTGATTGGTTTTGTTTTTATGTTAGAGATATTTTCAATCCAAGTACAGGACCTGAGCATTTTTATTTACACTGTTCTACAATATACAGACTAATACTTTTCAGTGTTCAAATTTATAAGCAGTAGCATGCACCAGTGAATCGTTTGTGGGCCTTTGTTAGTTTTAAGGAAGAAATTATTTTAAAAGACCTGTAAGTGCAAATGTTCTACCACATCTGCTCCTGACACTGTGCATGGATGTATTTATGGTAAATGACTGGTGAATGATTCAGTAAACAGTTCTGTGACACTAGATGTTCATCTGGCATTTTTTGTTCCTCCAACAGTGGAGATAAACAAACATCACAGTATTTCTTCATGCAAAATAAACACTGGATAATGTTTAACCATTGGTTTCATAATATATTTTCTTTCTTAGTTCGGTAGTAGGAGAGCCTAACTGAAGATCTGTCTATTCTATGTGTAATTATTTTAAATGTAAAAAAGCACCTGCGCCTCCCCCTCATTGGTCAGCAGCACAAACTGCTTAGAACAAGCTGTGTAAACACTTTTAAAAGTGAGTCATTTATATACATTACAGCAGTATTGCACGGGTTTATGCACATTCAGCTTTAATTGTGGTAAATTTTCCCCTTAAGGGAAGAAGGAAACTAACAGCCATCTAGAGCAGGTCTGCACAAAGGGCAGGATCGCAGAGACTGAGCTCCTGAGAGGATGTGCCTGGTGTTTCCTGCGACATGTGTTTAAACTCCTCAACTGTGAAAACAAGTCCTGCTGAGAGCTCCTAGTGGGTCCTGTCCAGTAACAATGGGATTTCAAAAAGCAATCTATTCTGGAAAAGACAAGGGGTGGATAGTCATTAGCTATAAAGTGGAGTGTACTGTGTACATTCACCTCAGGGTTTATACATCTATACACATTACTCTCGCCACTGAAATCTTTATAAGTGGGAAATATGTAGCCTTGTGTACAGATAATCTAATCTAATCAAAACTCTTGTAATTCATCATAAACTGGTTATGAGAACACAAGAACCAGATTTTACAGCATTTCCAGATGAGACATTTTTGCAAGCACGCTAATTAGTGTTTGAGTTCTCAGTGATGTAGGTACGTCTATTCAATCAACCAAGTAGATAAATACTAATATCAATACTATCAGTTTAATTTCTTGTGGATAAGTTTTAATTAAGTGTGTTGGATTAGAAGTGTAACGAAGTGGATGTCGAAGGCCGTTTGCGTGTGCTGTTGTGATGATGACACGTGTTTTGGCTGGGCATTATCAGTTTAGATTTATTCCAATAAACATCCCATTCCCAGAAACTGTCATTCACTGTATTATTAACTTTGTAAAAAAAACAGTGCCAGGTATTGCAAAACTGGAAGGTCTCCATCCACAGTGGAACCAAATCATTTCAATTCCAAACAGTGCAAGTAAGACAAGGCAGGAACGTTCTGATGGAGTTGAGCAGAGTACAGTTTATACTGAATTCAACAAATACAATATACATGAAATCTGAGTCACTAAAAACATATTTTATAGCCTGCTGTTTACAATATGTGAGGTAAAGCTCTAAAATAAATAATCACGAGACAGTAGTCAAATAGTTCCCAGAACTCTGCTCTCTGAGTATTGCAAAATTGGACTGATGAAAGTATAAAACCAGAATAGCCTCTATACTGGCAACATCTTCAGGAAGACACTGCAGTGCAACTGAGTCTGAGGCATCTAGCCCTACAAATTTCAGCATAGAGACATGTTTGCTGTGGGTACCATCGCTCTCCTCTGCTTCATGTCCGTGAGCCATTCAGCTCCGCTGGACTGTGAACACGTGGCCCAAACTTTGGATCAGCTGGATGTTGATCAGTTGGAGGGAAGATGGGGTTTACTTGTAGGCAGTTTAAAAATCATTGAAGGTGAAAAGCCTCCTGAAATTGACAGCATAAGTATCATCTTCTCCAATTCAACATACATCTTAGGCCATCGTTATGGTACCAGGTGCCATTATATGGGCAATACTCGTATCTCAATAGAAGACTCCAAGTTTAACTTTACCACTAGACCGGGATATAACTTCAGTGGCTTACAGTAATGGTATGTTGTTTCAAGCACATACAGTAAAGTGTCAATGGATGCTTTTGTGCAGATAGTAAATTGTCCACAGCTGAATATGAGACTTCATGAAAAAGGAAAATATGATTTGGCTCTTTCTTTTCTTTTGCTTATGGAAATCAAGGTAACACAATAAAAATAAAAGAAAATTGAAACCTGTGTGGTCTGTATTGAATAATCTGTATTGTATGTGAATAATCTGGAGTGACCATAAACATTACTTTCAACAGTACTATAGCTGTTACATTTTTATTTAAAAAAAATATATGATTCTGCTTTGTTAGCATCAACAGCACAGCACAAAATGACAGTGAGGCCCACAAGTTTTATATTCTGGTTATTTGAGCATGTTTGTTATCTCTAAACTCCACAATGTCCCCCAGCGTGACCCATTTTTTGGAGACAGTGCAGCTTAAAGGGAAACATGATGTAGATGAAGAGGAACACTGAACAAGCAGTACATCAACTGTACTCTTAAATACTGTTCCCATAAGGAACCACCTTCTTTCAGCATTATTGTTTTGTGTGTGTGAAGTGTTGATCACACTAAATTAACAGATAAGTATACCGTGTTTATGCATGCCTGATTCATTGCCTTGCTTTCCTTTATGTGTTGACGATCAGTAATTACAGAATGTTTAAAAGTCTAATTTAATTATAGATCAAATGTTCATATTAATTGAAGGTTTTCAGAAGACTATCATTTCACAGTCAGATTCACCAGATAAAGAGGGGACACTGTTGTAGCTAGACATCCACAACATTACCACAGGTAGCAGGGAGCTGGCAGACAAACCTCCATTGTAAACAATCAGTAGTCACAGAGAGTACTCAGAATATTCCTTCATTTCACAATCACAGACTCCACAGGTGAAATCTGCCCTCTGGTATTTTCTGAATTGTGAAACTGTAAGGCTCTGAAACAACTATAAAAAGAACCAGACCTCTTCACTGGCCACAGTCTTAGTTTAACACTCTATGACTAAGAGCATTCAGACTATACAATATGTCTTTTGCTTCGTGTGCCGTTGCTCTCTTCTGCTTGGTATCTCTGAGCTGCTCAGCTCCTCTGCCCTGTGAAGAGTTGGTCAGACCTTTGGCTCAACTGGATCTTCATCATTTGGAGGGAAGATGGGCTTTAGTTGCCGGGAGTCTGAGTTACCTGCCGAACCTGGAGCGATTCAAGCAAAGAGACAGTGCCGTTGTATACTTCTCCAGCAACACCAGTGATACTACCACTTCCTACTCTCGCAGCATCCTTTTAGATAACAAATGCCTGTATGCATACTTCAACATAACAATGGAAGGCGGCAGCTTCACCTACGACGGGACAAATAAGAGCGTCACCTCTGCACGTTTCGTCCACGTACCCTGTCCTGACTGCCTGGTGATGCACATGAACCTGGTCACAAAGCAACAGCACAGCAGGAGAAGGGAGGTGGAGCAGAAGGAGATGGAGGAGTTCAGGGCTCAGGTGCAGTGCCTGAACCTGCCTCCACCTGTTGTGATGGATCCTACCAAGGAGCTTTGTCCAGAAGAGACACCCAGTGATCCAACAGCTCAACCTGAAGAGAAAACGGTGGAACAGAAAAACTGAGAGACACTGGAAATAGTATAGTTTGGGTAAAATGTATGTCAGTACTAAGCATAAGCATAAACATACTAGTGATTTTTTTTCTGCTTTTCTAAATGTTCATGCAATGTTCCCATACCAACAAATCACTGAGAAGTTTTTGTATGGACTGATAAGATGGATCTGTAAAGTAACACCAACACTTGTCTGTCAACATTAAAATATTTTACCTCTGCAGAAAACACAACCTTTGTTGTTCTTTGTGAATATGACCTCAGTCATGGATGGATTACTGAAAGGGCCAAGTGGGCATAGGCCCAGGGGGGCCCTGAGCCCAAAGGTACCAAACTACCGCAAGGAGACTCAAAACAGTGACAGTCCAAAACAACTGCACAGAGTCACAATATGACCGCAAAGAGATTCCAAATAACTACAAAATCAAACGGAATGACACAATGAGACACAATATGACACACAATGATAACTCTGTTTCAATCTTTATGTCTTGCAGTTGTGGAGGCTGGTGAGGGGCCTTTTAAATGATGGTGCCCTGTGACCAATTGTCTCATAATCTGTCCATGACCTCGGTGTTCATGTCAAGGAGTGAACGCCTGTCTGAAGGGAGATAGCTAATATTTTCACTTAATAGTCTGCCATATACTGTACTTAGTGTAATAAAATAGTGAGCTTCAGTTTGACCTGGACATTTACATTTGTCTGTGAAGAATCTGGAAATTTCATGAAGGTTAGGGGCACCACAGTCCCATTTTGTCTCAACATATTGAGTGTCAGTCAGCCACTCTTTGTACCATTGGTCCATAGTACAAAATGGAAAAAGAATGAAATTGTATGCCACACTATACATAGCAAGCTCAGCAGCCCTCGGCCAAGTCAAAGAAGCCCAGCTAGGTCAGTCAATTAGATGTCACAGGCTGCAGTATGTGGTGAGGGAGTACTGTGGAGGGGGATGTGGGGAGAGCTAACCAGTTAAACAACTTTTTAAATAAGTTTGACATCCACCCCCACCCTGGTTAGATCATTCAGCGGTAGGCTGCTTTCTCCCTCCTGCTCCACAGACAGTCTGGACCTTTGGACATGGACATGTGATGTCACGACCCAGCTCCAAAAGGGGTGGCTGTGGCTCAGGAGGTAGACTGGTCATCCCCTAACCGGAAGGTCGACAGTTTGATTCCTGTTCTCCCCAGTCCACATGTAAATTTCTCTCTCCTGCTCCACAGACAGTCTGGACCTTTGGACATGGACATGTGATGTCACGACCCAGCTCCAAAAGGGGTGGCTGTGGCTCAGGAGGTAGACTGGTCATCCCCTAACCGGAAGGTCGACAGTTTGATTCCTGTTCTCCCCAGTCCACATGTAAAAGTGTCCACCATCGGTGTGTGTGTGTGTGAGTAAGTGTTGCAGATGGCTGCCTTGGTTCTGTACCAAAGACAAATTCCTTGTGTGTGTAACATACTTAGCCATGAAAAGTGATTATATTAAACATGATCCCACTTCACTATGACACTATACTACTGCACTGCACACTGTTTTCCCTTGTTTTTACCTTTGCGCATAATGTTTGTTCCTGCATATATTGGCATCATACACAGGTACCCCATGCACATATGTATACCCTATGTATACTGTATACTTGACACACATTACTCGTGTATATATATAT